TAAAAAATAAAAAAATTTCTAATCCCCTCACTATTTTCTAATACCATCCATACCTCCTCCTTACCAATCCCCCTTCCAAGGGTATTAGCAATACCAAGGGACTAATAGTCCCAACCCTTTCTCTGCAAACAAACAGGGGCTTTAGTAATACCTTGGTAGTACTAGTCCCAATACCCTCTCTATAGCTCAAAACAAACGGGGCCTTAGGTCCATATCAATGCCATTATTCAAGCATATCGATTAATTGAATCAAAGCACAACATTAATGGAATAGACCATTCACAAATAACAATACATAAACCATAATCACAGGAAGTAAGTGAAACATATTGTTACACTACTATTACACACAGTGATCGTCTCCCGGTAGTAATGGGACGATGTCCTCGTCTCGACCTAGAAGTACAGTGCACAACACATAATATGAGTTTATACTCGATCATTTACTTATTCTCTTTGATCATTCAATCAATTAGCCATGGTGGTACCAAGCTCATTATTCCTTAATAAGTTATAATTCATGTCTCAGAAAACTGGAGAAATCGATAGGAAATGGTTTAGGTGAAGAAATGGTACAAAACTGGTTGACAGAAAGTGAACAGTCGTCACTAATTTGGGCATAACTATTTCTGTATTTAGAATTTGAGAGTTAGACCACCACCAGTAGAAACTAGACTTCCAGGGCTTGATTTTAGGCTCAAGAATCACTCAAAACGGAGTCCGGAGGCAAAAGATATGCTTATTCAAAGTTGGCTGAACAGAGCCGTCTCCCGCACGTGAGGGAAACAAAGCCACATGTGCGTAGGAATGACAACGGGGCGGGCCGGGGCCGGGGATCACCCTCCCCGTCCCCGATCCCCGAAGCTACAAAATTTCCCGTCCCCGCCCCCGATCCCCGACGGGGAGCCCGTTGTGCCTCCCGCCCCTGCTCCCGATCGGGGATCAGTACCCCTAACGAGGATCGGGTTTTCCCGACCCCGAAAAATCCCCGCAGCTCTCTCTCTCTCTCTCTCTGTTTAGCTTTCTCCCTCAATCATAAATCATCAACAATAACATATTTTCATCAACAACATCAACGGCAACAACATCAATTTCATCAACAACAACAACATCAAGATAGATAGATAGACAGATCGAGATAGATCGATAGATCTAAAAAAAAAAAATGAAGTCAGATCGAGATAGATAGACACACACACATCTGCTCAGATCTAGTATACATGCACAAATCTGCTCAGATCTGCCGTGTATGAAGGTTCGGTAGTGGTGCGGAGGAGGAGAAAACGGCGGAGGATGATAAGGAGACGACGGGGGACTGCGTACTGCCGCGGAGGAGGAGACGAGACGACGCCATCACCGACTGCAGAGAGAAGAGAGAATGAGAGAGAGCCGTCGCCACTGCGGAGTGAGAGAGAGTAGATGAGAGAGAGAGAGAGAGAGTGGGAGTCTCTCACTGAGAGACAGATGAGGAAGGAATATATGAGAGGGTTATATTATTATATGTATATATATAATATATATGAATAGATAGAGGGCCATTATAGTAATTTTCTGTCGGGGGAGAAACGGGGCCGGGGTCGGAGTTGAGCCTGTGAAAACTATCCCCGTCCCTAGCCCGAAACTGATCGAGGATTCATTTTCAAATACCATCCCCGGCCCGTGGAGAGTATTTTTCAGGAAAAAACCGCTCTATTCGGGGTCGGGTTATCGGGGACGGGGGGTCGGGTCCCCGTCGGGCCAGGTCCAAATTGCCATCCATACACGTGCGACCCTGGGCAGTTTGCAGTCCGAAAATGGCTGAAAAATTGGAACTTCTCATTTTCAAAATCAAACCTCAATTTCATGTAGATCAAAGCCCAAAACTCTTTAATACATGATAAATTTCACATCCTTGGCTTCCATTCCAATTTATATCGCCAAAATACTACTCAATTTCTCAATCACAAGAACAAGATTATGAATTAGAACACAAAAACATAAAGTAGCCATGGTTTGGGGTTTAAAACTCATTTTCATGGGGGAACCCTCTTTAACCTCTTTAAGAACCATAAAACCCCTACAAGAAATTAAGTTGTAACATAAATTCATGTTATGGACAAGGATTCAACATCTTATTGCTTGAAGAAAGAAAACTTTACATATAATCATAAATAACCCAAGAACTCATTATTTAGCCTATAATCTTCAAGTATTGAGTGGGAGGATCTTACCTTAAGCCTTCACATCACTTATTCTTGTATAACCATGATGAATTCAAGCCAAATCCTTGATTTCTTCATCATCCTCAAGGTTTCTCTTCTTCTCATGCTTCTCTCTTGCTCTCCCTCCAGATTTTTCTTTCCTTAGATATTTTCTTGGCTCAAAGGTTGAGTTGAACCCCTCATATAGCATACCTATCTATATATATATATATATATATAAGCTTCCACAAATAGGAAGGGTCAAACACGCCCTTATGAATTGAACAAAATTAAATTTTAATTAAATTTTCCAAATGACTTTAAAAATCCCGTTGATCACAAATATGTCATCTGTTCTGGTTTTTGAAGTCTCTAAGGCCTTCAATTTGCAGTACAAAGTTAACCACCCAAACATGCATTAACGAATCAGACAAATTAGATTTCCAATTAATTCTCCCAGATTGTTCTAAAAATTCCCATTAACATACCCAAGTACTCAATTTTGATTTCTGAACCTGTAAAGGTCAGTAATTTCAATTTTAAAGCCGTGACTCAACAGATAATTCCTCAATTTGAACAAATATCGTTAAATTAAAATGCATTAACCCACAAGGACATAAAAGTGATTTCGAATACGGATTTTGGGATCGTTACAGTTTACACAACCATTAGGCTAATTGCCCTGTTGAATTTTATATGTAGATTATCTATAGAAAAAACCAGATTGATTTAATAATGATAATTACATAATTTTGTTATATTCGTTATCAAAAAATAAATAGTTTATTTTAATTAATGGGGAATTTATTCATAAATCCATCATCACTTACATATGTTTCACTTAGTCCAAATAATTTTCTTATGTTACAATAAGTTTTATGAGTGACAAAACTATCAAAATACCCCTAATAATAATAGGTTGAAACTTACATTAATATTCACATTGATAGTATGAACGTTATGTTATGTGAACATCCATACTATCAAATATAAATGTTCACATTACCAAATTGTTAAAGGTTCAAAAAATATTTATAAGGGTAAAATTGTTCATAAAATACCTTAAATATGATAATTAGAATTTGGTGGATCAAATATCCAAATAATAAGACTTATTGAAATACAATAATATATATATACATATATATATATATATTAATCAGCAAAAAGAAACTTTATTGATGAAAGGAGCAAGATACATAAAGGACTTACATCAACAAAGCAGAGAAGTGCACTGAGTATCATAACTAACCTCAACAATTCCAACTAGGTTGGCACCGCGAAGGAAGCACAATCATATGTTAGCACTTGACCTAAAGATTGGTGAAATATAAGAATATGTTATGCACTAAATGAGATATAAGTACTTAAAAGAAGATTTCTTAATAAATTCCCCTTTAAAATTATAATTATTGTTAATTTTTTTGAAAACAAATATAACAAAATTATATAGCAATAATTATGAAATTAAATTAATTTTTTGTGAGAATGATCTATCTATAAAACCCGACCAAGCTATCTTATCAATATATTTACCTAAAAAAAAAAGCCTTTAATATAGAAAAATAAATGATTCAAATCATTTAAACAAACTGCCTGATAGACTCCAGAAGACCCAACCAAAACAGCTAATGCTAGAGACAACCCTCACTTCTTTTTTTAAGATGGAAAAGCCATGAGCATCGTTACGTTATTATTAACATAAACCAATTACGTTATTCATTTTTTCAAACTCTAAAAAATGGAGAGCATTTAATCTTGTTAAATTTTATAAGAGCATTATTATTGGATTTGGGGCCACAATTGTGCTTGTGTGATTTATGAGATTCATTTTGGATTTTATTTTGATAATTTGAACATAAAAAATTAAATTAATTGAATATCGACGACCTTTTATCAAATCACATTTGTATTTAGTTTAATACATACATATTATATATATATATATATATATGCTTTGATGAAGGAATTATTAGTATTTGATTAACTTGATTTTTTATAACTATATTCTTCTCGATATTTTTTAAAATTTGAACGGTTCAAATCATCAAAATAAGATTCAAAATGAGTCTCGCAAACCGCACAACAGCCATTGAAGTGCTTGATGCACAACAATGACACCATGTCCATTATTATTTAAGACAAAAAATTAGATCCACTTCTCTAAGTATCAACAAATTATATTACTTATATATCATTGGATCTAAAAATAAATTTAGAAAATAAAATTATATATCATTTTTCATTTTGTTATAATTAACACACAATTTTGAATACGTGTCACAATACAGAAATTTAAAACCATTGCTACATGGTTTACTCACCAGCAGACGGGCACCCACTGCATACAACATTAGAAGACTAATAAATTTAGAATTTACTCACAAAAATGAATTAATAGTTGAAATTCATTTAATTGTCTTACATGTCATCAAAGAAAATATTAAGAATTTCAAATATTTTATTAATATTTTTACAAAATATATGACATAAGTGTAAACTCTACACTCATATAAAATATTTGACAAAAATATTAATGAAATATTTAAAAATCCTAACATTACCATCTCCTCAATTTAACTTTTATCATACAAATATATTCAAAATAAATTATAACTCAAACATTTTTGCAGCGGATAATTGTTTGCCTGAAGAGTGTAACACGATTCAATCACAAGTTTCCTACACGTGGCAACAGGCCCCAGCAATGTCAGCCACGTCAACCCTTATGCGTGTAACCCTCACAAGCACCCACGTCATCAAGCACACACCTCACCATCATCCCCTCACTCTTATATACCATCGATCCTGTCGTCCTGCATTCAATGTCCTTCCCACTGTGATCATCTAAGGCATCAAACGAAAGAGACTTAAGCCCTCAAAACATATCTGGTTTTCCAATGGCTTCATCAGGTGGAGAAATACCGGGACTAGTGCCGGAGAAAGGAGAGCCAATTCCGCCGGGGAAGCTGATGTCGACGGAGCAGCGGTTTCTGGATAAAGGTGCTCAGATGATGCAGTCTCTCAAGCCTGTCAACGAGATCAAGCAGCACGTCTGCACCTTCGCTTTGTACAGCCAAGATCTCACTCGCCAGATTGAGACTCACCATTACCTCACCCGCCTCAACCAGGATTTCATCCAGTGTGCCGTTTATGATACCGACGACTCCCACGGTCGTCTCATCGGTACACCTCCCCCTCTCTCTCTCCTTATGTGTTTGTTTTGTGTGTGCATGTGTGGATTAATTGCTGTTTGGATATATATATATATATATATATATATATATGAGCATTGACAATTGACAGAGAGTCTCTTCAATTACCATCCACAACTCCCCACATGTGGGTGGTGATTGGAGGAGAAGAAAAAAAAAATAAATAAATAAATAAAAAAAGTAACTAATCAAAAAGAGAGAGTCAAAGGAGGCGATTGAAAAGGAAATCTTAAACATTTTTATATATATATTTGTTGGGAAATTCTACTATACATCCTTCCTTTCCTTTTCATATTTATGTTATTTTCTTTTTCGTTATGACTAATTTTACTGATGAGATTTTTTTACACGTTATATGTTGTTTTGTTATGATTTTTCTTTATAAATTAGAAGTCATGATATTTTACACAATATGTTTATTATGTCTATGTTATTTTAATTTGTTTAATTTTGTCTCTTAATTTAACAGATTGAGTTATTTAATTCAATAAATAACGGTCGTTAGATTTGATGAACGAAGACTCAAACGATGTATCAATTTGATCCCTGCAGTTTACATGATGTACTCATTTGATTCCTGTCAAAATTAAGCAAATTAAAACAATAGTGATCAGATTGACACATTATGTAAATTATAGGGACTAAATTGACATGTTGTGTGAACATGTGACGACTTTCTGTCTAACAAACCTAACGACTGTTATTTATTGAATTAATATGTCACTATTCCTTATATTAAGGAGTAAAATTGAGCAAATTAAAATAACAAAGATTAAATTATCACATTGTGTAAATTGCAGATACCATTTGCATAATTTACCCAATAAATTAATATATCTAACTTTTTTGATTCAAAAAAGTTAACTAATGTGCTTGGTTACAATTTTATATTATAATATATTTCCCTTTTTTTAGTTGTTTAGCCTTAAAAAGTGAGATTTTCTTGAGTTATAATTTGTAGCATTTTAGCTTATTGGAAACTCTTAAATATGTGAAAAGGGTTTTTTTCAACCCAAGAAGTAGGAGCTCCAAAATCACTCTAAGATTGGTTAAGAGATTAATATGTATTTGGAATCCTAGTTATTTTAGGTAACTTGTGTATTTTTTTTCTTGTGTAATTAAATAATTATCTAAAAATATAAAATTCAATTTTGGTAAATTTTGGATGACCCATCATCTGATTTTTTTATTTTTTATTTTGGTACAATCAAATTGTTCCACAATTGTATTATACAGTTAATATCCGTTGAAAATTTACATACATCAAGCAACTTTGTATATCGTAGAAATATAAAAATATATATTCAAAAAAATAAAATAAATAAAATTTGTCATTTTTTGTTTTTATTTTTTATTTGTTTTTAGTAATTTTTTTTCATATTTATTCACAAATATTTTAAAGTGTATCGCATCTAAAAAAATTTAAAATTTGATTGAAATATGGAAAAGTTACTAAAGGCAAAATAAAAAAGGAACTAAAAATACTCAAAATTATTTTTCAAAAATAAAACCAAACATACTTATTTTTGTTAACAAAATTCTACCGCATACAATGTTCTCTGATGTAGATTATAACTAATGTGAATTAATTTTGTTGGTGAAAATATCAGGAAAATTATATTTTATTGATAAAAAATACAAAGAAAATGTTATACAAATAGATCAAGCTGAGACACGGATATCTCATTTTTTTTAATGAAATCAAGCCCACTGCGGTAGGAAGAACCCAAATACCGATCGCAGCAGTCACGAAAATATGACTTGTCCCCTACAGAATACAACAGCCCGACTACTTTTTGTATGGTTCAGGCCAACTCTGCACAAGATAGTGAACCCAAAACTCCACTAAAAAAAAACTCTTCTTTGGCTAGTAATCTTTTAAGTATAAAAAATAGTTTGTGGAGAAAATAGTAAATGAGATGAACTATTTATAGGCCAGTAGGATTTTACAAATTTTACCAAAAAATAATAATAACCATTAAACTAGAGAAAAATGAGATTCTCCAAATATTAACTCATCACCAAGTCCATAAACTTCAAATTAATCTTTATTCATAACAAGACAAAAGGTCCCTAAAAATTAATGAATCCCCATTCACCAAACAAAATAAGATTTATGAACAAAACTAAAAAAGTCACAAAAATAAATAAATAAATAAATAAATAAATAAATAAAAAATATTAAAATGGTCCAAAAAAAAAAAAAAAAAAAAAGATTCATTGATTGAGGGGGAGCCTCCGCCTTTACTCACCAAATACCCCTTGATTCCTAGGCGTACAGATCACTTATTCATAGAATCCGGATCCTCGGCCGCCCTACCCGGCAGCCCCCCAAAACGACGTCGTTTTGGGGGTTTTTTGTTTTTTGTTTTTTTTTTTCCTTTTCTTCTTCTTCGTTCTTGCCTTCTCTCTCTTCGAACAGAAACCAGAGGGGAGGGGAGAGGAAGAGGGAGAAGAGGGAGGAAGGAGGAGGGAGGAGGCTGCGAGCTCGCCATCGCAGCTTATCGCCTCGCCGCCGGCCGTCGCAGCCGTCCGATCGTCGCCCGATCCAGCTCGTCGCAGCAGCTGCACCGCCGTCGCCTCCGCCTCCAAGAAGCTCTGGTATGACGTTGGCCTCTGGTATTGCAGTAGCCCCTAGTTTATTGAAGGAGAGCACGACAGTGGCTTCTGATGTTGAACAAATAGAGCCTTCTAAAAGAAAAAGAGAAGCCTGGGTTGGTCTCTGTTTTAGAGAGAGAGACGGCTGAGAATAAGGTTTTTTTTTCAAAAAGATTAGATGGTGTTGGCAGCTGTAGGCAAAAAGAAAAGAAATGTATTGATTAGGATTCTTTGTCTTTTTCTTTAAATAGGCAAAAGGATAAGCAGATTCCCTTGAAATATATATATATATATATATATATATATATATGTATATATCAATAATGTGCTTGACATTTTAACAAAATCAAATGAGACTAGATTTTTTATAATACATTTCTCAACTACTAATCTGTGTGTTTATGAGTGAAATGGATTGGATGCCCATTTAGGATGCTTTATATCAAAAGGATTTTATTTCAAAGAGGTGATTTTAGAGCTCACTTAGGCATCATTTGGCAACATGTTATTTTAATATTTTTTTGATTTTTTGACTAAAATATAAGGTAAAAAAAGTTAATATTTTTGGGATGACTTGTTGGTTTTTACGAAAAGATGTGCAAAAAGTATAAAGAAAAAATAATTTTTGATTTTTTAGTATAAATTGTTAGTTTTTTTATTTTTTTTAAATGATTTTTTGAGTTTTAAGCTAAAAGATTGAGTTGTCAAACAAGACCTTACAATAAGTATCCCAACACTGAGAACTTTGCTTTTTAGTTGAGAAGTGTCTTTGTCCTATCTTACAACGTTCTAAACTCAACTTATGTGTCACTTGAATCAACGAATAACTGAACTCTTAAGATCTCTTTCAACAACAGGCTATGATGAGTTGGCATCAAGATCCAAACGACTCCGTCGATAAGATAGCCCTTCCTCCTCACTAACCTCATAATGGTGGCTTGTCGCTAAGCAGGCTAGCAAAGAGGGCCTCAAATGCCTAAACAAGTTTGCTTTGTTCAATTTACAAATTGATCTTACCTTAGACAGATAGCATTCATTTGAGATGTAGATTGACTTTTGATTTTTTAACTTTTTTAACTTGGGGTTAAAAAGTTTTGTTTGATATAGATTTTTTTACTTTTTTGACTTTTGTGAGAAAAAAATAAAATAATTATGATTTACATGTGATATTTTCTTTCATTATATTAAAAAAGCTTACTTTATTTTTTTTTGTACATAAAATAGTCCAAACCCAACCTAAACCTTCTTTCCAAATGAATCCATACTAACCCACACAACCAATTTTTAGATGCCAATTTTTCGCTTCAGAAGAGCGATAAACTAGATGCTTATTTTATTATTATTTTTTCGAATTCTTACTTTATAACTTTCTTACATGTGCTCATGAGTAGGATTCGAACCAACCCTTCAAGATTACCGTAGAGAAGCTTCCCCTAAGAACTATATATTTCTTATTCTCCATAAGTAAAAATACATAAGTAAAAAGACATATACTTCTTATTCTCCATAAGTAAAAATACATATATTTTATAAGTGATCTGATAGTATAGTAATGTACTTAGAATTTTTTATTTATTTATTTTATCATTCCAAATTACCTCTCGACCTTAAAAATGTATGTTTTAAGTCAATACAACATTATGTCACTTAAAAAAAAAAAAAAAGACTCAGGAAGGCAAGTTTTTTATTTTTTGTGATTTAATAAAGTGATCACTAGACTATTAAACAACAGAAAATAAAAAACTTGCCTTCCTGAGTCGTTGTCTCCTTCTTCTTTCTTTTTTTTCTTTTTCACAATCCTATTTATAGGAGAATTTCGGAGGGGTGGGCGCCTCAATTCAAGTCTCAGCAGGTGATATTTCGACGCTGTTTTTTGTTTCGACGCCGTAATTATACACCAGAGGTCTGTTTGGTAATGTTTACATTTTCATTTTATATTTGTAAAAATTTTATAAATTGGTTTTTGTTTATTTTTAAAAAAACATAAACTACAAACGCGTTTGGTAATTGACAAAATATTTTAAAAAATTTAAAAATATAAAAAAGAGTGAGAAATGGCAATTGGTGGCAAGTGGTGGTGGAAGACGGTGGTGGAAAGTGGTGACGGTGGGTGGCAGGTAGCGGGTGGTGGTGGGTGGGTGGGTGGGTGACGGTGGCGGGTGGTGGTGGATGACGGGTGTTGGGGTGGTGGCGGGTGGTGGTGGTGGGGCTGGTGGTAATGGTGGTGGGTGGGTGCGGTGGTGGTGGTAGCGAGTGGATAGTGGTGGTGGTGGTGGTGGTGGTGGTGGGTGGTGGTGACAGGTGGGTGACGGATGGCGGGTGGTGGTGGGTGGGTGATGGTGGCGGGTGATGGGTGGTCAGCGAGTGGGTGGTGTTGGCGGTGGAGGTGGCCAATGATGGCAGGTGGGTGGCGGATGGCAGGTAGTGGCGGCTGGCTGCGACGGCGGGGGTAGGTGACGGGTGGTGGTGGTGGGTGGGTGAGTAATGGTGGTCGGTGGTTGGTGGTGGTGGTGGGTGGTGGTGAAGGTGAGGTGGGCGGATGGCGGGTGGTAGCGGGTGGTGACGGGTGGGTAGTGGTGGCGGGTGGGGTGGTGATGGCGGGTGGTGATGGTGGATGGGTGGTGTGGGTGGCGTGGCGGTGGTAAGTGATGGGTGGTAGTTGCAGGTGGGTGGCGGATAGCGGGTGTGGTGGGTGGTGGCGGGTATGGTAGTAGTGGTGGGTGGGTGGCTAACGGTGGTTGGTGGTGGTGAGTGGTGGGGTGGTAGGTAGTGGTGACAGGTGGGGTGGTGTTAGTCGGTGGTGGTGGCAGGTGGGTGGTGAGTGGTGGTGGCGAGCGGTGGATGATAGGTAGTGGTGGCGGGTGGGTGGTGGGTGGTGGTGGTGAAAGACGGTGGTGGAAAATGGTGACGGGTGGTGGCTAGTGTTGGGTAGTAAAAAAAATAAAAATAAAAACTCAAAACGGAAACGCATTTTTTGAGTTTACATTTTTTGGCCAAATTTATAAACTGAGACCACTAATTTATAAATCAAAAATTTACCAAACAAGTTTTTATTTGAGTTTTTAAAAATTTTGTAAATATAAACAAAAAATTAAAAACGTAAGTGTTACCAAACGACACCTAGATAACTTGTGCACACATGGTTCTCACCTTTCATGTTTTTGTTATTTTATTACATTTTGACCTCAACTTATTTAATAATTACACTATCATCTTTTTGGATAATACACAATGAATCATAATTTTAAATTAAATTACATTTTATCACACATAATTGTAAAATTAAATCTACTTTTCCCTAATCATGATTACTTGATTTAATGTGATATTAAAACTAATTAAACATTTAGGGTGTCACAGTTTTTCTCGCAGTATAGCCTATTGTGCACTAGCATAGCAAACACCCTTTACTTTGTTATTAATGCAGTGTTAACACACGTGATGATTTTAAAAAAAATATGAAAAAAGTGTAGTCATTATAGCATTATTAAAAAATAAATATATGAACTTCATTTTTGAAATGTCCAACCAAAACTTACTTATTTTGCCCAAAAGCCTAGAAAAAAATATCTTATGCCAAGACATAGACCGAAAAAACCTCTTTCTCTGAATGCAAAGAGTGAAAATAAAAAAAAAAAGGTTCTTTCTTATCAAGAGGCCAAAAAGCAATCATCTCTGAATGGAGACACTAGACAGGCTGAAATTTTATTTATATAAGAGACCAATAGATAAAAACTTTTTATTCAATGGCTCAACTAAAAAAAATCATTATCCTAAGACGTTGTCAATATTAAAGCCTATAATTTTAGTTGCAATAATTGAAAATGAAAATAAATTTTAGATAAAAGATTCACAAATACAGAAAATTATTAAATGTTAATAAAAAACGGTTAAATATTATAAGTCTCTAATTAAAATTTTGCCTCAACCTTCTTGGGTTGCCTTTTCCCTTTGTCGGTCACTATAACTACGAAAATGTTGATTTGCTATTGTTATATATAAGTTTTAGACTTTGTTTGATTAGAAAAATTAATAGTGATGAGATTAATAATTCATGAGATTAGTGTAAGATTAATAATCCAGTTAGATTAATCAAATAAATAATTCTCTCCACATTTGCTTTACAATGACTATGGAAATATATAATCTCGCTTATATATTTGTTTTGTATTCTTAGTCGTATAATTAAAAAATTCATCAATTTTGATAGATAGAATGTCCATTAGATTCTAATTTAGATAACAAAAATTGCAACAAAATAATAAAATGCGAGTCTCATGAATTAATAATCTTAATCATATGTAGAATTCAGCCAATCAAATAACAACTTATTACATAAAGATTATTGATGTTTAGGATTTTTCCTATATTTCGGTACATCTTAAGGGTAAAGGCCTTGAAATGATACTAATTAATTGCTAGCATTATAAACCAAGTCATCTAATGCTATTAAGGTATTGTATTCTCGTTGATAATTTTTGTACAGGGGTTGAATACATAATAACAGACCGTATATTTGAAACACTACCGCCTGACGAGCAGAAGCTTTGGCACTCCCATGCATATGAGGTCTGCACCAACTCCAATTTTTTTCTTCATCTTTTCTTTTTTGAAAAATATATGTTCTAGTTATGCATCTACTTTAGTGAATTACGTATATAACATTATTGTCAAGTAATGTGTGTATTGCTGGTTCAGATCAAATCAGGCCTTTGGGTGAATCCTCAGGTCCCAGAGCTGGTTCTAAAGCCTGAACTTGAAAATCTCACCAAAACTTATGGTAAATTTTGGTGCACCTGGCAAGTTGATAGAGGTAAGTGGATAATAAATTTGGGTCTCTCTCTCTCTTAGATGATTTGACTATCAGATTAGCAAGATCGAGTAATGTTATTCAAATAGAAAAATTATACAATGTTTTTGTAAAAAAGTGAGATGGTTGAATTGGAATTTTCACTACAAGAAAATACACTTTTGACGGCTAAATTTTTAGTTGCCAAAAGTCTCTTTTTAGTCGCCAAATGTCAAGTTTCCACTTTCCCCGACAAAATCTTTTAGTCGCCGGGTTTGTCGCGTATGTGTTGTTTTCGTTGACTCAATTTTAACTCTAAATTTTAGCTTTTGTCTCTAATTTGTCCAATTTTGATGATGGCAATTGATTTTTTTTTTTAATTGAAGTGGAACACGAGCGTAGCATGACATTCTTTAAGGGAAAATTTGAAAAATGGCATTTTAAGTTATAATTTGATTAAAATTTTAAAGAGCTTGATGCTGATGCTCTTAGCGAGTGAGGAGCGTTCTTGAGTAGAGGAAGAGAATAGTTGCGATGTTGGTGAGAGAAATATTTAAATAGTAATATTACAAATATAGAGTTGACTATCCTGATTTATCATATTGTGATTCAAATTAAATTACTCTACGCGTGGATCTCATATTATACAAATTCAATCTTAATCATATATTTTCATTCGGGATAATTAAAGTGGGATTCATAGACTTATTCATATTTAAATGGATGATTTTTGTCTACAGAATTAGCTTCGTGGGATGTATGTGTGCTACTTTTGTTTGAAAAAAAAAAATTAATAGCAATTTTATTGGATCGATTGGAAACATAAACTAAAATTTAGTGTTAAAATCAAGTCAATTAAAGCAACATGGACAAAAATGACACAATTTTAAAATATAGAGATCATTAGTATGATTTGGTTTTAATTTCAAGGGGTGATTATTAAAAAAAAAAAAAAAACCCTCAAAGTTTGACATTTGTAACAAAATAAACTTTGACTTTTTTATTTTTTTTATTTTGTTAATTTAAACTTTAAACTTTTGATTTTTTTTTCAATTTAAACTATTTACATAAAAATCGACGGAAAAATAGTATTTTAGTCATTAAACTTGAATTTAATGACTAGGGTTAGTCCTCAAAATAATATTTGATTTGTTTTCAATTTAAATTATTTATGTACACTTATATTGATTTGAAAGATTCAAATACTATTTTTTATTGGTTTTAGATGTTTAGATTGAAAAAGAAAATTAAAAATTAAGGTTTAGTAAATTGATAAATTAAAATTTCAAGATTTATTTTGTTATAAGAGTCGAGTGGTAGAGTTTTTCACTATTTTTTCAGGGACATATTACAACAATTTGAACACACTACACACATGGTCAGTATTGTGCTATTAGAATATTTCTTTGCCTCTTCCTGAGCTCTTCCTTCGGTGAAAAAATACTATGAATGAATGTTCTTATAATTTAGCAAGAATAAATCATGATTTGTGGTGTAGGTGATAGGCTTCCTCTAGGTCCACCTTCATTGATGATGTCCCCACAACCTGTGAACTTGGGCAAGGTAAGGCCACACTTAGTTGAGAAGAGGGATTACAAGTACAAGATCTCAATTGATGATCTAAAGATGTCAAGAGTGGAGATTGAAGAACCAGAATGGATCAATCCACAAGCAGACAACTGGAAACAGCATGGAAAGGGCTTTGTTATCTTGGTTGAGCCAATTGAAATGAAGAAGATGGCACCTTTTCCGTGAAAAGGTGGCTAACATGGAGAAAAAATGGACTTTGGACTCCTACAACAGTATAAACATGTAGTATTATAATATCTGCTTATTAATTTAATCAAAAATGATCCGTAGCTCAACTTGCGTAAAGCTTGAATGATCCGAATGGTATGAAAAATATTATCTTACCGGTAAGAGAATAAAAAAAAAAATCCTAAAACGACGTCGTTTTGGGATTTCAAGGCTCGAATATAAGTTCGGGACTCTCCACCATGAATTTGGACATGTTGTATGAAAGTGGATGCACTATATGTAGTATATATGCGTCGTGCAAATTTTTTGATTTTATTTTATTATATTCTCTTCTCCCATCTCCATTTATCTTTTGATATTGCTTACTCGTCCCAGAGCAATTTGTCAATCCTTATCTACATGTATGTTTTGATATTACTTATCATTTTAGGGGCAATCTGTCAATACTATGCTGTGATTGGAAAAATATTTTAATTTCTAGTTTGAAAATAAAAGATTCGCAACTTAGATATTCATATAATACAACAAATGTTATCAAGTCATTAGTAGTCAAAAATCTCTCTCCCAAAACCTCCACCTCCGGGCCTCACTTTTGGCCGGCCGACTGCCGCCTTTTCCTATGGTGGTCGGCTGGCCCAGCTCTCTTTTGTATTTGTGTGCTGATTTTTGCTTTTAATAAACTTGATTCCCACAATTTCTTTCCACTTTGTTGCCTTTTTTGTTTCATCAGGGGGTGCTTGGGGTTGTTTTGTTTTGTATCAACAAGGGGTTGCTTGTTTTGCTGCCTGTTTTGTTTCAACATTGGGACTGCTTGCTTTGTTTCAATAGGGGTGCTTGGGTTAAGGGTCAAAACAGAGTAGACGGAGGTCGGTGTTGGACCGGAATAGAGGATGTTCAGTTCTGGTTGGATCTTCACTCGGGCGCTCTTTTGCGAGTGGAGTTGGAGGGATGAGCTCAGGTTCGGATCTATGGAGTTGCTTCGGTGCGTTGTTTGGGGGGTAACATGGGTGTTGAAGTTGATCTAGATCTGTCCCAGATTTCATTCGAGTGCTCCTTTTCGAGTGGGAGTTTGAGGGGTGAAATTCATCCAGATGTTTGGTGGTATCTCGGCGGTTGTTCGATGTTTTGGGTGGTAGTGGAAATGGCAGTGGGCCTTGTCCGGCTGTGGTGATGGTCGTGTGCTGTGTTCGGCTGTGGCAGTGCTCCGTCCCGATCACACCTACTGCTGTGGTAGTGGAGATGGCAGTGGGCCTTGTTCGTGGTTTTGATCTCAGCGGTTGTGTTCTGAGCAGGGAGGTTCCGATGCAGGTGTTTGCTTAGAAGTTGGCCCTTAGGTGGTGTTGCTGGGCGTAGGTTCCAGGTGGTGTTGCTTAGAAATTGGTTGAATGCGGGTGGCGTGGGTTCCAGGTGGTGTTTGATTAGAAGTTGGCCCTTAGGTAGTGTTGCCGGGCGTGGGTCTTGGCTTTGGTGAATAAAATATTTGGGAGGTGTAGGCATTGGCTCTGTGGAAAGTGTTGGTACAGTGGTACAGAGTTGCTGGCTATGGAGCTTTCCGGCCGGTGAATATTCTCGGTAGGTGTAAAGCTCAAGTGTGGGAGTGTAGCACAGGTGAATATCCTCAGAGGAGCGTGCAGCACAGGTGGAAAGCACAGGTGTGGGCGTGTAGCACAGGTGGGTGCTGGGTGTTGTCAGGCGTGGGTGTGCAGTAGGTAGGCGTTGGGAGTTGAGGCTGCACAGGTGGTCAGCTTTAGTTTGAAAATTAGAAGTGGGCGGGAAAGCTTTGGTGTTTGGTGTTGGGTTTTGATTTGGCTTGGTCTTTGTGGCCAGATTTTGTGGGTTTCTTGTATTTTATTTTTAGTTAAGTCCTTTTTAACTTTTTTTTTGTTTTTTGTGTAAAAAAAAAATTCGTGAGGCCGAGGCGTTGGTTGTATGGATGCGAGTAGTAGTAGTAAGGGTAATTTGTACTTTCCGAATCTCTCTCGATGCATGTCATCTTCCTGTACCTTTAATTTCATGTTGTTAATGAAAATTTTCTTTGCTAATAAAAAAAAAAAAAAAAAAAAACTTAGATATTCATATATATATATATGATATATAATAGTTGTTCTTATCTTGATGTATGTTTTGATATGACTTATCATTTTAGGAGTAATTTGTCAATACTATGCATAATTTGAAACACATTTTAATTTCTAATTTAAAATACAAGAGTGGCCACTTAGATATTCATATATATGATATATAATAATTGTTCATCTGTATATTGTGGTGGGTTCAATTGTTGCTAGTTAATGAGGTCAACTTTATCTAAAAGTGTACATAAAAAAATTAAAAACTATGAATCCATCTTTTAAATTTTAGGAATTAGTGTTCTGTTCCTCTTCTTTCTTTTTCTTTTCTTTTTTTTTTTAAATTTTTTATATAAATGAAATTTTGATATGTACTAAACTATATATTTTGCAGGTCCTCTATTTCTTAAATTAAATTGTCCAAGAATTTTTGCCTCATTTAACTCCAGGTTGTGATATTGTTTGCCAGTAAGGATTGTGGCTAGTGCTTGGCTTTATTCTTAAGTGAAAATGGAAAAAGTCTAAACCTAAAGGCTTCATCAGTGACATTTTGGAATTTCATTGTAGAACAAGTTTCTAAAAACTCACTAAGATGCTTGTAAGGATCTTCATTACTAAGCCTATGGAAGGATGGAAGCATTTGAATGATGGTGGCCCTAATCTCATAATGGGTTGCGTCGTCAATTGAATGCAAGATGTTGACACACCGACAGTAGGTGTGAAGTGTGCCTTCAGTGGTCTAGGTTAATCTTTTAATGCTTCAGTCATTGCTACAGTCGGTTTAGATTTCTGAAAACTTCTAAGGGTCTGCTCTAGATCAGGGTCGTACACCAATTTTGGATGACAAGAACAATGACTATGCATACAAAACACTTGCTTCTTTTTCTTTTTCTTTTTTAATGTACAAAAACACACATAAACCAGCTAAGTAGGCGGTAGTCTAAAAATATAATAAATTAAAGTGTGATAAAGTAAAAAGGGGTATAAGACCTCCCCAAAAAAGAAAATAAATGTACAAAAAAAAACATAAAATTAAATAAATAAATGTTAGTAGTCAGAAGTTAGTAATCACTAGTCTTTATTTGTCCTCCAAGTTGTATGTCCAGCAGTGGTAATTAATCCACAAGCGTCTAGTACAGGTAAATAGTCCACAAATTATATGTTCAGTATGGGTATCTCTTTTCTGTGTCACAGTATCAAAATTTTGTTTTTGTTATTATTATTATTATTATTTTTAATTATTTTTTATATTTTTTTCTGCAAAAGAAACCAAACTCAAAATTTTATTTATTTATTTATTTTCAAATTCACATGCATAAACAATTAAAAGCTATATAGAAAGAAATGTTAGAAATAAGAAAAACTAATTGAAATTTCTAAATTAAACAACTTACTAGTAATCCCCAGCAACGACATCAAAAATTTGATATGGTCGTTTGCACACAAAAATATATTAATTAAAACTAAGTAATAACCACTACTCCGAAGTATAACTGTTGAGAACGGATGTCGAACCACAGAAATTATGAAAGTTGACATTAATTTGAAGATTTTTGACTGGAGGATGTAGAATAATAAAAGAAAAACCTTAAGCTTAGAATCCACTACTAATCTTATAATTGGTAGTTGTTCGTATTTAGATCGGAAAATTATTGAGATGGGTACTAAGATGTGTCTTAGTTAGGACAAATCACTTAAAAAGATTTGTATTTTAAAATTAGAAAGTCACGAATCATCTTCGCTTAGCATTGATCGCCACAACTAAACTAAAGTTGATGCACTACTCCATCTTACTAGGTATGACTCATCTAATAATTTTATTATACAAGTATAAAAATCATTTGTATAACATATATTAATGACCAGTGAACACATAATTTGATAAAATAATATTTGCATAAAAATCTAAGTTATACAATAGTACCCAAATCAATTAAAAGTCTACAAAACTAAATACAAACTACATGTAACATGCCTGGGGGATCCTAACTATATATATCAGATAGGGATCCTAAATTTGTTTCTAGATTTTGGCATAGTTTGCAGGAGGCAATGGGAATAGAATTGAGATTTAGTACAACATTTCATCCACAAACCGACGGACAAACCGAGAGAACGATCCAGATCTTAGAAGACATGCTTCGTATGTGTGTATTGGATTTTCAGGGAAGTTGGGAAACTTATTTGCCATTGGCCGAATTAGCTTATAATAACAGTTTTCATGCGAGTATCGGTATGGCACCATATGAGGCACTATGAGGTAGAAAGTGTAGATTGCCAGTTTGTTGGATAGAGGTTGGTAATAGAGCTATTTATGGGACTGAACTTGTGCAGGAAATGACTGAGAAGATCAAAATCATCTAGTAAAGGCTCAAAACTGCACAGAGCCAACAGAAAAGCTACGCCAATCAACGAAGAAGGGACTTAGAGTACAAGGTGGGAGATCATGTATTTATCAAGGTGATCCCAATGAATGGGCATATGAGATTTGGTAAAAAAGGGAAAATTGACTCCTCGCTACATTAGGCCGTTTCAGATCCTTGAGAGGTTAGGCCCTGTTGCTTATCGTATCGCCTTGCCGCCGAGAATGGAACAAATGCATAACGTTTTCCATGTATCCATGCTTCGTGGTTATCTTAGAGATCCGTTCCATATGATTGATTACCACCAGATTGCTCTAGACAAGGATATGATGTATGAGGAATGGCCCGTGCAAATCATTTATCGGCAAGTGAAGCAATTGAGAAACAAAACTATCCCTATGGTGAAGGTCGAGTGGAGAGAACATTATGGGAAGGAGGCCACTTGGGAGAAAGAGGAAGAGATGCAGCAACAGTATCCGCATTTGTTTCCGTCTGAAGGTAACTTAAGTTTGGAGAATCAAACTTTCTAAGGGGGAGAGAGACTGTGACGACCCTGACCTCCAAACTAGTACATTATATAATTTAAATAAGTTTAATTGCATGATTATGTGTTTAATTGCATAATTATCTGTTGATATATGGAATATCTATTTGAATTGATAACTT